TCATTGTATATTCCTGGGATTTCTTATATTTTGGAATTCCGATTTCTAAATATCCTTGTGCACAAATATGTTGGGACAAAATTGGGCCAACATCAGAATTTTATATTTTGTATGACATTGGGCCAACGTAGCGCCAACATGTCGGTGCAATGTTGCGCCAATGAGCAAAATTACATTGGCCCAGTATAAATTTTCCGACATTGGGCCAACATAACTGACAACAGTGGCCCAACGTTGGACCAACGTCAGAATTATCGTTCTATGACGTTGCGCCAACATGTCGGCGCAACGTTGCGCCGATGAGCAAAATTACATTCCCAATATAAATCCAACATTGGGCCAACATAACTAGAAACATGTGGGCCAACGTTGCGCCAACATCAACGTTGCGCCCAAAAATTGGCCCAACATCAAAAAACGTAACTTACAAAATTTTATCTGGGATCTCAATATATGCAAAAAATATAAATCTAATTAACATTGAAATTTTGATTTAATATTGTTAAATTAAATTTTAATTTATTTCATAGATGTGCAAAACATGAAGCATATGGGTATCGCCGCGTCACAACTAGACGTCACTTTTAAAAGATTTTTTTAGGATGAACAAGGCAAAAATATTAATGATGATTGATTGATTGTATACTGTTTAACGTCCCTCTCCAGAATATTTCACTGATATGGAGACATAACCATTGCCGGTGAAGGGCTGCAAATTTAGGCCTATGCTCGGCACTTACGGACTTTGAGCAGGGAGGGGTCTTTATCGTGCCACACCTGCTGTGACACGGGGCCTCGGTTTATACGGTCTCATCCGAAGGACCGCCCCATTTAGTCGCCTTTTACGACAAGCAAGGGGTACTGAGGACCTATTCTAACCCGGATCCCCACGGGGCCAAAGATATTAATGAAATATCTAAAACATGTCTAATCACCCCAAAATAAAAAAAAAAACAACAAAATTTTAAGTTAAGTTTTTTCCTAATGATCAGTTTAAAATCAAATGATGTCATTGTTATTTTTTTTTCTATAAACATTGTGTTCTACTCTGATGGATTCATAAATTTTGCATTTTTTTCCTCAAACTGGGGAAATACCAGTATGGACAGTTACACTGAGTAATCAGACTCCCAATGAAAAAAATGTAAGTATCAGTATTGTTTATAGTTGCAATTATTTTCAACGATTTTGGGGAGGGAGATAGGTCATTGAATTATAACATGTAGCTGAGGATAGGAATACAGAAAGATGATAGATCGGACGGAAACGTTTAACTGGTGCCTGATGTTTTCAAAAAACGTATCTTGTATCTGTTATGCAAATGGATATGAACACTTTGTCTTATTATACTGTTTAAAGAATTTTGACAGAGGACTTAATTATGAAAAGAGTGAAGGGTAAATGTACGATGGCTACCAAGATTTCTTTAAGAATAAAAATTTGTGAACGTATTGGAGAATCTAATTTTTTCTTAATTGGGAAACGTTTTTACTGTATGACGGCGCGTATCCATTATCTTACGTTATTTAGATGCGGCGACTACTAAAATCGCAAAGTAAAGTATAAATTATTTTGAAATGAAATTTTTAGGACTGATTTGAAATAAAGCTTTCTTCATTTATAATTTTGCTGCCGTACGTCGACAAGTAGCATTTTTTAACTTGTGACATTACTTTTGGATGAACCCTCTTAACATGGATTTGATTGGTTGATGGAATGGAATAATTGAAATACCAATGTCTTCTTTCTTTTCTAGGAATTCATTTTTGTGGTGTCACTCTTCACGGCTTTCGGGAAGTAATTTAAAAATATAATGCAAGGTTAATTGAAAAAAAGGTATGTCATTTTTTATCCACGGAGGGATGCGTATGTTTCGTATATACTTGACCTTTGTGCTAAAAAAAATAATAAATTAAATAAAACAAAATTAACCGAGTAGTTGCTAGAAGAATATGGAGATAACGAACAGTATTCAATATCAAAATCCATAAAACAATATAAAATAGGAGCAGTGCAAACACGGACCTCCGAAACACCAGAGGTGGGATCAGGTGCCATGGAGGAGTGAGCATCCCCTGCTGACCGGTCACACCCGCCGTGTGCTCCTTGTCATGATCGTAAAATAACGGAAAAATCCGTCGTCAATTCAGTGTATAAATAATGGCCTAACAATTAGTATGAAAAATGTCAGTCAGCATTTGACTCAATGATAAATTTTATTTGCTGACAATGTCATTGTATCGACCATAGAACTTTCGAAATGATGACTTTAAACGAGATTGCTGATATTCTTGTTTCGTCAACTTGCTTGTCAATAATTTACCTCGTTTTAGAAATTGTTCATACGAAAAGCATGCTCTTGTGTATCGAATCAACTGAGATATATACACACCGTATGCAGGTACGGTGATGAAGGTATATTACTGCATAAGTAAGGGAAGTTGACGATAGAAAAGTTTAAGGGAAAGAAGGACCTTTAGCTGAAAAAATACCTGTCGTTTAATTTTTTTCATATTTTGTATATATCTTATTTAGTATGTCCCACATACCATAAAGCAAATATATCAATAGGTTTCTAGACTTATTTCTGAGATATTGAGTGACAAATACTATGCCCCACAGTGTCTGAGCGAAGTTTTGATTCTCCGTGTTTCTGGGCCCATTACTCGGTCGATAATTGAATTTTTTCAGCATAGATAAGAAATATGTCAGCGGAAATGTGTCTTTTAAAATATTTCAGAGTATGAATAGGGTTAAAAGTTCGAAAAAGCAAGATTCTTTTGTCACACAGCATCTGGAGATGGAAAAATTACGTACTTTTTAAGACAACTCAAACAACAAAAAAATTGATTTGCGAAAAATCCTATCATTAAATATTTTAAAATTTACATTGAAATTCAAGTTCGTCATGTTATTGATTTACTGTAAAAATATCGATTAGTGAAGCTGAGCTCAATATTGCACAGGGCATAGTTAAACAAGACATGAACATGAGAAAAATGTGTCATGTTTACATTTCTCGAGTACGGGAAAACCCAACTATGACGTCACACATTTGCGAAATAAGTAAAATAAGACATACCTACGATATATTTCCGTCAACAACCATGTAAAAATATTTTTTGCGTTCTGTTATTCACAAAATATACCACCATGTACAGATCATGACCCTTTTTTTTTATTTTATACTACCCGTTTTTACCGTGCATGATCTTACTGTACTAAGAGATCCACTATGACGTCAATGACGCGCCGGACGCGCAGTGTAGAGAAACAGAAGAGTGGATTAATCTATTCCGTAATTTGATAATATTAGCAAGAAATTTTTAATGTTTTCAGATATTTTTATCCTAGATGGTGAACGCAAACAGTCAGTCAAATTTTTTTTACAAGTACTGTGGTTTCAATCTCGTTTTGTACATATTTTAACAGAGATTATGACGTAATTAAACTGAGTCATGTGACAAATACATCCTTCGTCCCCTTAAGTCGTCACGTTTATCATATAGCTTGGTTGTTAGGTTACCATTAACGTCTCTTTCAAGTAAAATATCTAAGTATGAAACAGATGTGTCAGACTCTGTGTTATCTTTTATCTCAAGCTCTCCTGGATATATCGTATCGACGTAGGAATGGAAATTACCACTGTTAATTGACAATACGTCGTCGATATATCTGAAAGTCGAGTTGAAGGCCACAGCAAGTTTTTTCTTCTTTTCATGCATAAGATTTTGCATAAATTCTGCTTCATATTAATACAGAATAAGTCTACTAATAACGGAGCGCAATTGGTGCCCATGGGAATTCCAATAGATTGTTGGAAGACCTGGTCTCCAAAAACCACATAGATATTGTCAATCAGAAACTCAAGCATCTTCTTGATGTCAATTTCAGAGTACTTGTGTGTGCAATCAGAATATTTTTTAACAAAATAATTTTGCAAATGACCAATGACCAGGTAAGTAAATTTACGAGTTAAAAAATAATTTGTCGTTAAATCGAATGTGAATGTTAACTGTATTTAATTCAAAATGTAGGTCATTTTTTTTCACACTTTATTTTTAACCCTTTCATGACAAGAAGCAGACAACTAGAATGAACGGTCAACAGGAGATGCTTTCTCCTTTATTGCAACTGATCCTTCTCCTGTTTAAAGAAGTTGTTGTCTCCTCTGACGAAAATCTGTATTGATTAAGGTCCATCGATACTCTGATAAGAGAGATAACTCTTAATTACATACATGTCTATTATCCCTTTATAGATTTGCCAAGTTGCAGTGTCTTTTTTTATCCAATTTTGCCCCGCAAGATATGCTTAAAGTGTTTGTAATTTACTTATCAAATATATTTCGTTAGGAAAATCATTAAGGTTCAAGCAACATTTAATATGAGTGAGCAAAGGATTTATGAACCTTAAATGAACTAAAAAGAATTCTTACCATTGGTTATCCTTACAAATGTCACATTTCAGATTTTAATTATACTGATTGACATAATGGATATATTTCGTTTGAAGACATTTCAATCGCATGGGTCTAATTTTAAGACCCTTATTTGTCCTAATTTATAAACCGTATTCTCCGAAATTGAAATGAATGAAAGAGCATAAAAAATATCGTTTTAATCATATTTTTTGATTGCAGATACCAAAACGTTCTTCACAAAGAGAAAAAGAGAAATATACATTTGTGTTCAGATTGACGTATTTGGTCAGCAAAAGGATGAACATACGGCGCTTATATCTGTAAGCTATATCTCTCTGGTTCCAAGATCACAAATTTCCATGCAAGTAATAAGGCTATTTTGATGAATTATTAAATTATATCTATTTAATCTGTTTGCTTAAAATAATCATTGTAGTACCATATTTTTCTTTTATTTGGAAAATCTTCAGTATTAAATTTCATAGAAAAAAAATGCAGTTAAATTATCTTCAAATAATGCACATGACTGTATCAGTAAACTAATTGATCATTTTGATCATTTTCAGACAACCCGAATTATTTCCTAAATCGACGTTCTAATAAAAATGGATTTTCATAAAGAGGACTAACGATTATTGATGAAGCATTTTGGTATGAAACGACTGGAGAATCTATCTACAATATAGATGTCACTTCATGAACAAAGTCAAAAAAGGTAGGATACAGGAAAAAAGGCTGAGTCAGATGCGTACAGTGTACGAAAGCTTATGTTGAAAGTTTTTTAACAGGATTAATCAATCCGGACATGGTTCGTTTTTTAATTTGCTATCGTTGAAATGAAAAAAAGATAACGCATCTATTTTGAGAAACAAATTACAACAAAGACCTTCTATAATAACGTGTGGGAATAATAACTAGTGTCTCCTAAAATGGGTCGAGGAGTATAAGTTAAGAGAGACTGCTAAGGTTAAATATACAGGACGGATTTTCGTGACAATTTTCATCATTTTATAGTGACTTGGTTTAAAAGGTGTGTAATTAATATTTCAGTAATAAAACTATGAAATTATTTTTGTACCATCAGCCACATCAAACACTCCCACATGTTTAGTACCCATTTTATTAGGTTAATCGAATCTTCACTTGTACAGAGATGGGAAATTGAACAATCATTTATAGGCATCAAGGGAGATAGTGAGTTCCTAAAAATATTATCTGATCACGAATATAGATTTCTCATTTGATCTCGTTTGCGTTCACAAAAAGAACTTCAGAGTCGTGAGACTCAGATCAGTGCATATTAACAGAATTTCAAAATAATTATCACGTGGCTTTCTCATTAATTTCCACATGTCTTTGAGATTGTGGAAAAATATGAGTCTCCTCATTTCTTTTGTGATCTGAGAAGAAATTTGTCAATGAGTACAGAAAAAATTTGAACGATAAAATTATTTATTTTATGTCAAAGGCACATTACATGTTCTTGCCACTAGAGGACTTGTATCATTAATTAATAGGTTAATAAAATTGCTTTTATCTATCATTTAATACCTTCTTAATTCAACTTTCCCATGCCCTTTCCAAGTGAAATAAGTGGCACTAAGCAACAAATATATTAAACCAATGATTTTGTTATAAAGATTGAACAAAATGGTTGTTCTATAAATAATCATTTCACGTTGTTCGAGAGATTGATTTCACGAAGTGTAAAAAAAAAATAACCCCTGTAAATAAAAAAATGAGCTCTTATTGCGACTCAGGACCTCCATATATAGTGTTTCATCTGAAGGACTGGTCTCTACGTAACGCAGAGAGCTCGAGACTCGAACATAAGGCGTAAAGATCAACTCTTTTCTAGACTCGAGAGAAAATTCAATAAACACTGCAACGCGCAGTATTTCAGGAATTAAAATACAGAAATAATAAATAACAAAGCCATATTTCACAAAAGGGAGAGCTGAAAATTATTCTTTCGTATCATATGATGTTCAGGAATTAAAAAAGGGGGAGAAAGAGAGAGAAGTTGAGAGTGAGAGAGAAAGAGAATACACTCGATGTTAAGAATTTTTTGCTGATATATTTTTTTAATACAAGAATATATATCTGCAGAAATGTTTATCTTATTTTTTAATATTTCATATATAGTGTGTGTTTTATTCCCTCTTGACATATTTGGTTTTATTACCTCTTCACATATTTGTATTGTTTTTCGGCCTTTTTTCGTTATATTGGTAACAGTGGTCCCGAGGACAAAGGGTGTTGGTGATTTGTTGTTCATGCTTTATCATTGGGGTGTGAAGATTTTTTGAACTTTAATTTCATAATTTTAGGACTAAAGGGCAACCCCCCAACACACACACACACGTCAAAGTCTGTCTGGTATACATACAACCCCGGCGGAAAAAACCCTATATATATATGTACACGGGAACTGTATTCGGGATTTTTTTAAAATATAAAAATGTATACTTAAAATATTCATTAATCAAAGTTGAGGAAACAAGTACATAAAAAGGCTTGTTTAAAGATTGTTGGCATCCTTATTTCATCAAGTTGTTTGGCAATAGGCTGCTTCGTTTAAGAAATTGCTTGGTGTTAGAGCAAGCTCCGTTTGCAGGTCCTAAGGGTGGGTTTGTTGCTAAGTAGGAAAGGAAGCTGACTGATAGAAAAGTTGAAGTCACCATGTTTATTCGAAACCTTTGTTGCTAAATTACCATTAACGTTCTTTTTCCAGAAAAATATTTAAATATGAAACATATATGCAGACACAGTGGAGTCTTTCAATGAGTTCAAAGTGATGAAACGAATCAACGGAGGAATAAAAATGATTATTGTTAAATGATTAAATGTCCTCGATACGAGGGTTGTCCCAAAAAGTCGTATTTAATGTTCATAACATTGTAAATAATCAATTTATACTAACCAAATCTTGTGTGATTACCAATTAGCAAATGACCCTTGTTATAGTGAATTTTGAAATTAAAATTTTTCAGACTAATAATATTTTGAGGATTTATAAGAAAGCTGATATGCTCTGTCGGTACACGCTGATAATCAGGGATAATGCACGCATGTTAGTACTACAGTTTCATTTGTTTTTCTGATAATGTGATGAACATCGAATTCAAGTTAACGTCAATGAAATCAGATACATAACCCACATGTTGTATGAAATATTCAAGTAAATGACATCGGAGACAGAGGAGTAGTGAAACAATTTTTTAAAGTATACTTCGTGAATTGAGTTTTCTGCCAACGCAGGCGCACATAGATACAATGAAATATTGCGATTGTTGAATTTATATTATTTCTCCGTAAAAATAGCAAAAAAGATTAAAAAGCTGCGTAACACACAAAAGAGTTTGAATAGAATTTTATGGCGTAAAAAATAAAAGACAAATTCACATCAGAACTAAATAAGATTAAGAATTTAGAAGCAGTGAAATGATTGTTAAAAAAGAACTCGATGATCGTTAATGATCACAGTCAACAAAACATGCTTATTTTTCACCATTTGTGGGACCTTCAAGTGATTAAAGAAATAAGAATGACATTTAATGCGTCTTTCAGTCAAGACTACTTTTTTGAAAATTCAATAAAATGCCTTGAACGTATATGGAGAACAAAGGCCATTATTTTGAATTAGAATAGGATGGTCATATCGTTATGTTACAAACTGTATGTTTGTGTTCGCGTACCGACGTACGCCATAATATTTTCATTATTTTACACTGTTTTAACTCTTTACAACTTACTGAACTGTTATGCAACATACACTTAATGTTCACGTCATAGAAATAAAAATTTACCATTTCCGCGCACGCACCTTTTTAGCGTGGTACACGTTTCTATAAAGTTTAGCGTAAATAATATTATGACATATTTTAATACAAAAATAACTTTTATTTTATGATTTTTGCAAGTATGAAACAGAAAGAAAAAATTGGCATTAAATTAAAGATTAAATGAACTTTTTAAAGTGCGTGAAAATGCGTGATTGCGGGGAAATGGTATATGCGTGATTTTGCGTTAGAAGTAGGAAATGGTATATGCGTTAAAATGCGTGACTGCGGGGAAGGGGGTTAATTTCTAACTATACGCCATATTTTTCTTAAATGTGAAATTCATGATCATTAAATGTTGTTTTCATGTCATTTTTTTGTATAAGAATTTTGCTTCAAATAAATATGAGAAAAGGTCTGTGTATTTTTACGCATTTTGTGCCCATAGGAATTCCAACAAATATTTGAAAACTTCATCGCCAAAGCAACATAGTTATTATCAATCGAGAGATCATTAGGTAAAGGTTAACGTCAATGAAATCAGAAACTAATTATCTTTGTTTGTAAGGTTTTATGCAATATATTAATGGTAATTCAAATTCAATTTGAATGACCTGAATATCAAAATATATTTATTTGTTTTTACATCTTTTGGAGAAATTATAAAGACAAATATCGATGAAGTAGATATAACGAATTGTAGAATTCAGCAATGATGTCAAAACCAATTAATTTCGTTATGAAAAAAAAAATTAATATTATTATGGAGTTTTAAAAAAATCATCATTTCATAAGACAAATTCAAAATTATTTTTAGTAGTTTCTAAATGAGCAGATTTATTAAAAAAAAAAAAAAGCATCATAATGCGATTTAAAAAAGGTGTTAGTACGTCTCCAAAAAGTGTTTCATAAGGCATTTCATAAATGCGTGATGCCACGTTCTCAAATGCACTTATTCCTTTCTTTTCAGAGGATATTTTTTATTGTGGGAGTGATGTGGGGAAATAATCACTTTCACACAATTTCATTCTAACAGATTATTACCTTAAATTTGTTTTCTTTCTAACTTAAAAAAAGAATTTCGTTTATATTCAGGAAATAAATTCAAATGTCCCATTTCTAGTTAAATGCATTTTACAACTTTTGAAAAGGTTTTATTGCGCTTAATATGCCATTTGAACTTTGAATTTTTTATTATTATGAAAAGAAACTTTGTCTTTTAAAAAAAAGTTGAATTTTGTTTAAAAAGAAAATATAACATATTTTGAAAAGGCATAGTTACAACAAAGGAGAAGTTTTATAACGCAGAATGATAATAATTAATGAAGATAATTAAAAAGCGAGGATGTAATTAATAAGCGAAGCTATATTATTTCAAAGCTAGAAATATTTAACATTCCTGCCCGGTTGCATAAAGGTAAATGAGAAGTCAATGCCTTACATGTTAAAATCTAAAATTTAGATCGTCAAAAAATAATATATATACTATATACATGTATATTTCACTTTTTAAAAACCTTTCTTCAAATTTTGTTCGTAAATTAATACCACGCGGATAAAAGTAATATATATATATATATATATATATATATATATATATATATATATATATATATATATATATAAATATATATATATATATATATATATATATATATATATATATATATATATATATATATATTCTGTATATTTCACTTTTTAAAAACCTTTCTTCTTTTCTAAATAAAATTGAAATTCTGTCACAGTGTTTAAGAATATCAAGAAGGTCAGAATGACTTCAGAATACAAGAAAACTGACGATTTCCCCTCCCCTTTCGAAGCGTATTGCTAAAAATGCTCCATAACCTATGATAAGAGTAAGCGAAAATTAAAATACTGCCACAGAGACTAAAACTGCAAAATATTCTATTGATTGATTGTACATTGTTTA